CGCTACCTGTGAGCCTCTCCCCCATGGCAGGCGCACCCGCGGGCCCCTCGCCCCGGGACTGGAGCGCTGCCCCCACGCCGGCCCGGAGCACACCTCTGAGACCCTCACCTTTGCCTCCTGAACTGAGCACACCTCCCATCCCTGGGGGGACTCCCACCATCTCTCGGCCGGACGGAAGCGTCCCTTCCGATTTGTGAGCCTCTCATTTCTCTCCTTCCACTTGTGAGCCCCCAACTTAGCACTCCTCACAGCGCTGTCTGTGGGTGCATGCCCCGGAGCTGGACCTCCACCGATGAACCCTCGCCCCAGTGAGCAGACCTACGTGCGATCTGAAGCGGCCTCCTCAACGGACTCTACTTTATCAACCTCCTCTCACGTTTTTCCAACACGTTAGAGGTCAGACTCCTGGGCTCATTACTTCCTTATTACCTTCCCTTCGTTCCCCCACAAGTTTGCACCCCACCCCCGCTTACTGTCTGTCCTCACTTTCTTACTGGGAGAAAACTCTCCTTCCATATAGACATACTCCTGGCTGCCCTATTCCAGGACCTAAGGACAGTTCCTGGAGATTTCTGACAAGCAGGACCAGGCTCCTGACTGAAAGGGGAATTAGTGGGCCTTTATGTCTGCCCTATCACCTGGAAAACTTAAGACTTAATGGATTATTATTATTTTTTAACTAAAGCAGGTTTAATTAAAAAGAAAGAAACGTTTCTCTGGGCTTGGTCTACTGGCTGGTGACTTGGGGGAGTGATGTGGGGAGACAGTGGGTGAGTTTGGATCATGGGTTTTTATGTGGGGTGAATGCTCTTGTTAGTCATGAGGCAAATTCATGAAGTAGGATTAGGAAGTGATTTAGCCATAGCTGTGCACATAGTAGGCCCAGACAAATGCCATCATCGGCATCCCAGAGCCAGGCAGAGATGAGATGGGGGGTGCGTATGTGTGCACAAGCTTGTGTGAGTGTATCTGGTCAGTGGGGCTGCCTGCTATTTGGGAAAATTCCCAGCTCCCATGGATAAAGGAGCATTGGCCATTGATTCACTTCTCCAACAAGTACTCACTTAATGTGCCAAGCACTCTGCTAGGAACTGGGGATACATCAGTGAGCAAATGGGCAAAATCTCTGCCTCATGGAGTTTATGGACCAGTGGGGAAGAGACATCCATAAGTGCTCTAGAGCCTTGCATTGTAAGTGCAGTCCATGGGCCTACAATATCACCTGGGAGCTTGTTAGAAATGAAGGATCTCAGGCCCCACTTCAGACCCATTGAATCATCAGATTCAGCATTTTAATAAGATTCTCAGCTGATTAGTATGCATAGTATTCTAGAAGAAAAGCACCGGGCCCAGGCTGAGGGCTGTTTAAAAGGCTAAAGGCTCCCTACTATAAGGAGTGACACCAGCCACAGAACCACACCTCCCTCTCTGAACTTTTGGAGCTGGACACTGCACCACAGGCTATGCCCCCTATCTTACCTCCCCTGCTGGATTTTGCGATGAGGCAGCAGAGACCTGACCTGATTCATGATTGTCCCCAGCACCAAGGACAGG